ATAACATTGTGGACAGTATCCTCAATTACCTCGATATTTCTGATCCTCTGAAAAGCATTGTTCTGGCAATGCTTCCTACTGTGAAAACCCTCTTGAAGCAGTTGACATTGAAGTGGCCCCTCCTTGCAGCAATCATCTCCTTCGATGAATAATTTTCCAAACGAGGTCGGGGATTTGATCACTGTTCTACAGTGGAATTGTCGAAGTCTTATTCCTAAGATAGAATCGTTTAAGTTTTTGGTTCACAATAATGATTGTGATGCATTTGCTCTGTGTGAAACTTGGCTCTCTTCAGATATAGATCTTCCTTTTTATGATTTTAACATTATTCGACTGGATCGTGAGGATTCGCGTGGAGGAGGGGTACTTTTGGGGATCAAAAAGTGCCATTCCTTCTATAGAGTGAATCTTCCACAATTTCCAGGTATTGAAGTTATCGCATGTCAGGCTATTTTTAAAGGTAAGAGCCTTTGTATTGTTTCTGTTTATATTCCTCCTAGAGCCGTTGTTAATCGAAAACAACTTTCAGATATATGTTCAGTACTTCCTGCTCCACGGTTGATCATGGGAGATTTCAATTCCCACGGTACAGGCTGGGGGGAACTGTATGATGACAACCGTTCTACTATGATATATGACCTCTGTGACAACTTCAATATGACAATTCTTAACAATGGAGAAGTAACACGTTTGGCTGGTCCATCCTCAAATGGAAGTAAATTAGACCTCACACTTTGCTCTAACTCATTATCGTTGGATTGCACGTGGAATGTGATCCAGGATCCCCACGGTAGTGATCACTTGCCGATCAAAATTTCGATTGCCAGTGGGTTCAATCCGTCGGAATCCGTTAATGTCGCGTACGACCTCACCCGTAATATCGATTGGACAACGTTCAAGACCGCGATAGAGGAAGCCGTGTCGTCGGTAGAAGAGCTTCCACCTTTGGAGGAATATAACTTCCTCTCCAATCTGATCTTGGACAGCGCGCTTCAAGCTCAAACTCGGCCGGTTCCAGGAACGTCTTTCCGTAGGAAACCTCCTTCCCCTTGGTGGGACCAGCAATGCACTGAGGTTTATCGTAAAAAGTCCGACGCGTTTAAGCTTTTCCGGAAACGCGGAACACCCGAGTATTTCGAAGCGTACTCGACTCTTGAACACGAACTCAAGAGCCTCATCAAAGCCAAGAAACGCGGATACTGGCGGCAATTCGTGGACGGTTTATCGCGCGAAACGTCGATGAATACGCTTTGGAACACGGCGCGAAGGATGCGTAACCGGTCTTCAAACAACGAGAGCGAGGAGTACTCGGATCGGTGGATTCTCAAGTTCGCGCGAAAAGTATGTCCTGATTCCGTGCCGGCACAGATGATTCCTCGCGAAACGACGAATTCGGTAGACGAGATCAGCCAGCCTTTTTCAATGCTAGAGCTCTCACTCGCGCTCCTTTCGTGTCGCAATTCGGCTCCGGGGGCTGATAGGATCAAGTTCGACTTGTTGAAGAACCTCCCAGACGTCGCTAAGAGGCGCATGTTGAACTTGTTTTGTCAGTTCCTGGAGTTCAATATTGTTCCAGATGATTGGAGGCGAGTGAGAGTTATAGCCATTAAAAAGCCTGGAAAACCCGCGTCAGATCATAACTCGTATCGTCCCATCGCGATGTTATCGTGCATTCGAAAATTGTTGGAGAAAATGATCCTTTTTCGCCTCGACAAATGGGTTGAGACGAACCACCTACTCTCAGATACTCAATTTGGTTTCCGTAGGGGTAAGGGAACGAACGACTGTCTCGCGTTGCTTTCCACAGAAATCCAGTTGGCTTTTGCTAAAAAAGAGCAAATGGCTTCTGTGTTCTTGGATATTAAGGGGGCTTTTGATTCAGTATCGGTTGAAGTCCTTTCAGACAAACTCCACGCTTGTGGCCTTTCCCCATTAATTAATAACTTTTTGTACAATTTGCTGTCAGAGAAACATATGAGCTTTTCTCATGGAAACTCTACAGCTTCTCGATTTAGTTACATGGGTCTCCCCCAGGGCTCATGTTTAAGCCCCCTTTTGTACAATTTCTATGTCAGAGAAATTGACAATTGTCTAAGTGACAACTGCACGCTGAGACAACTTGCAGATGATGGCGTAGTGTCTACGACAGGGCCCAAAGGGGTCAACCTGCAAGGACCCTTACAGGATACCTTAGACAATTTGTCTACTTGGGCTATCCAGCTAGGTATCGAATTCTCCACGGAGAAAACTGAGTTGGTCGTTTTTTCTAGGAAGCATAGCCCAGCACAACCGAAGCTTCAACTTTTGGGTAAGCCGATCACTCATTCCATGTCTTTCAAATATCTTGGGGTCTGGTTCGATTCCAAATGCACCTGGAGATCCCACATTGAGTATCTGAGACGAAAATGCCATCAAAGGATCAATTTTCTCCGAACAATTACCGGAACGTGGTGGGGAGCTCATCCGCAAGATCTTCTAACGTTGTACCGGACAACGATTTTATCGGTTTTAGAGTACGGTAGTTTTTGCTTCCAGTCGGCGGCTAAAACTCACATCATCAAACTGGAACGTATCCAGTATCGTTGTCTTCGTATCGCGTTAGGATGCATGCACTCGACTCATACGATGAGTCTCGAAGTGTTGGCGGGCATGTTGCCACTATCGGATCGGTTTTCGGAATTGTCCCTCAGGCTCCTCACCCGTTGTGAAGTTATGAACCCACTGGTAATCGAAAACTTTGAGAAGCTTCTTGACCTAAACCCTCAAACTCGTTTTATGTCATTGTACTACGTGTACATAACTCAGGATGTCAGCCCTTCACAGCATAATCCCCATCGTGTATGCTTCTCCGACTTCGGCAATTCAGTTAGTTTTGATTTATCTATGACGCGGGAGATTCGTGGAATCCCAGAGCATCATCGTTCCATGATTGCTCCGTCAATTTACGCTGCAAAGTTTGGCCAAGTTGATTCCGCAAGATCGTTCTTCACAGATGGATCACTAATAGAGGCGTCCGCTGGTTTTGGTATTTTTAACGAATTTCATAGCGCCTCTCGAATGCTTCAAGCTCCTTGTTCCGTATATGTTGCTGAACTGGCGGCAATACACTATACGCTAGAGACGATCGCCTCACTTGCACCAGATCACTATTTTATTTTTACGGATAGTCTCAGTTCTGTCGAGGCTATTCGATCCATGAGGCCGGTAAAGCACTCCTCGTATTTTCTCATGAAAATACGAGAGCTTCTGAGTGCTTTATCTTTAAGATCTTTTGTCATCACCTTTGCATGGGTCCCATCTCATTGCTCGATTCCGGGCAATGAGAAGGCGGACTCACTTGCTAAGGTGGGCGCTATGCAAGGCGATATTTACGATCGACAAATCGCCTACAATGAATTTTTCTTCATTTATCGTCAACAGTCGCTCGCCAGCTGGCAAAATAAATGGAGTGAAGGAAGTTTGGGACGATGGCTATTCTCGATCATCCCTAAGGTGTCGAAGAGTCCTTGGTTCAAGGGGTTGGATGTGGGTCGAGACTTCATTCGTCTGATGTCTCGCCTCATGTCCAATCACTATTCGTTAAACGCTCACTTGTTTCGTGTTGGGCTGGGAGACAGCAATCTCTGTGAATGTGGACAAGGTTACCAAGACGCCGATCACATCCTTTGGTCTTGTGCTGAGCATCGTGGAGTCAGATCTGAGCTGTGCGATTCCCTTCGGGCTCGAGGTAGACAACCGAATGTTCCAGTTCGGGATATTTTGGCTAGACGTGATCTGGAGTTTATGAAACTCATATATGTTTACTTTAAGAATACTAACCTCAGATTGTAAGTTTGATTAACCTTGTGTTTAGTTTGTGTATTGTGCGTGTAGTTTTTTTTTTTAATGTTTGTCTTCAAGATGAATAGAAATAAGTTCATGTTTTAGGATTAATTGAATATTTGTATAATAAATCATATTTCAAACCTCCTCCCTTTCCCCATCCAAAAAATTGTAAATCTCCACTAACCTCGAGACGACCGCGAGTAATCGGTTCAATTCCTTTAACTCTAGATTTAAGACATTAATCATGTATAATGCAAATGATAACTCGGCTCTGTAAAGTTTATTCGATTGAGCCTGTACAAATAAATTAATATAAAATAAAAAAAAAAAAAAAAAAAACAAATGGCCAGAAAACCCATCAAACTTCTGTAAAAGAAAGTTGTAAACCTTGAATGAGGGATCCTGTGTATGGGATTAGTTTGATTCCAAATGCTCGGAATTTTTATTATTTTCATATAAGGTCGAACTTTTGCCCCACCTTACTCTAAACTTTTTTACAAAATGAAGCATCCTAGGGTGTCGCTTATGACGGATATTTTATCAAAAATCCTGTGTACCTGCCATTGACTACGGACAATTCTACATACAACAAATCATCAATTATCAAGTTTAATCGTCTTCGCTTCAGTAATCCGGCTGATAAGCAATGTAATCACATAACTATTTGCCACATTGTGACCACCACCCAAATCAATGTCTGTTCAATTAACGTTCCCCAGATCAGTTACTACGTGCACTAGTACGAACTTGAACTTGTACATATTACAAGTTGCCTTTAAGCGCTGAAAAAAACACGATTATTCCACCCCGGCACCGGCTGCATCTCGTACTAGTAATGCTGTCAGTCATGGCTGCACTATAGGGTTGCTTGCTCAGTAGCCCACAAAGGGGGAGGTGACTGTAGTTAGCGAATGCAGCTCCATGGAATTGTCTCCACGTGTAAGTTCACGCCGTTGCATAGTGGGGACAAAAACGTAAAAATGTCTCAAAATTCAAAAATTCCAGTTCTCGCTGGAGAAACTTGATCAAATTATTCCATCTTACTGGAAAAAAATCTCAGGAATCGAATGGAACTGGTTTCAACTTGCGCAAGATAGTTAGAATTGGGGCTCATGCGGGAACCCCAATTTGCACTATTGTGTGTATGACGAAACCAGTTCTATTCGATGCCTGAGATTTTCTCCTGTAAGAAGGAATCATTTCATCATGTTTCTCAAGCGAGAACTGAAGTTGTTGAATGTTGAGACATTTTAACATTTTTTATCCCCAGTGTGCGCTGCAAAGGATAGTTCTGCCGCATTCATCGTAGAGGGCTAGCGCTGTTTAAATATGTAATAGTTCTGGCTGATCAGAACCAGTCTAATAGTAGCCGTGCGCCAGGTTGGGAAAGTGCGCGATGCGCGATTTGTTCGAATTGAGCTCCGTAGAATAAAGAAATTTGTACAGGATGATGTACGCTGTTAGTGGATTATTGTCGCTGGTGCTAAGCAATTACTACTATTGTGCACAAGCACAGGATAGTATTATGTCAGTTTTTGAGTTCCTTCAGGATGGCGGCAAAAGACTGAACAATGAACTTCCCGATCGGAGGGACCTGAAAGATGAATACGACTTTGTAATTGTTGGAGCCGGATCAGCCGGATGTGCTCTAGCAGCCAGGCTGTCGGAAATTAGTGATTGGAATATTTTACTCATTGAAGCTGGTGCGAATGAAAACCTACTGATGGATATTCCGATGTTTGTGCATTATATGCAAAGTTATGACGTGAACTGGGATTATAGAACAAAGCCAAGTGATCAGTACTGTCTAGCATTTAAAAACAATCAGTGTAGATTTCCACGCGGCAAAGTGATGGGCGGATCAAGTGTGCTCAATTATATGATATACACCAGGGGAAACCGAAGGGATTTCGATAGTTGGGCCGCAGCCGGAAACGAAGGATGGAGTTATAAGGAAGTGCTACCATATTTCCAAAAACTAGAACGCAGTGTTGTTCCTGACGCGTATCCTGGATATGCGGGGAAGAATGGTCCGTTGTCAGTATCGTATGTACCTTACAAATCCAAAATATCCAAGTTGTTCGTGGAGGCGTCATCACAAGCCGGAATCCCATACGTGGATTACAATGGACCTAAACAAATTGGAATATCGTTCATGCAAAGTACCACCAGAAATGGATACCGTGATAGTACAAACGCGGCATACTTGTACCCATTGAAAAATCGAACAAATTTACACGTGAAGAAGAAGAGTCAAGTTACCAAAATTCTAATCGACAAAGAATCAAAAAAAGCTGTTGGTGTGAAATTTTATCACAATCGCAAATACTATACAGTCAAAGCACGATATGAAGTAATATTGTCTGCCGGAGCGATAGGTTCCCCTCACCTATTGATGCTATCCGGTGTTGGTCCTAAGCGGCATTTACAAGAGAAAGGTATCAAGCTAATAGCAGACTTGCCTGTAGGCTATAATTTCCAAGACCACACTGCAGCGGGTGCACTCACTTTTCTTGTCAACAATACTATTAGCATGATGGTGGAAAAGGAAATGTCACTCGAGAACTTTATGGATTTCCAAATACGTCACACGGGGCCACTAACGTCAATCGGCGGATGTGAAACAATAGGCTTTTTCGACTCAGAAGACCCTAATGATGCTGATGGATGGCCAGATTATGAATTAATGCAAATCGGCGGAACTATGGCAGGCGATCCATCCTTCGAGATAAACTTCAACTACAAGCACGATACATTTCAAAAGTTGTTTGGAGAAATTCAACGGAAAAGCCTCAGTGGATTCACTGTTTTTCCATTGATTTTGAGGCCCCGGAGCAGCGGCAGGATTTACCTTAAAAATGCCAGCCCTTTCAAGTACCCTGTGATAGAACCAAACTACTTCTCGGATCCATACGACTTGGACATCTCGGTGAAAGCCATTCGTAAGGTACTAGAAATCGTAGAGCAGCCAGCATTGCAAAAAATCAACGCTCATTTATTGCCCGTGCCAATGCCAGGATGCGAGCAGCACGAATTCAACTCCGATGACTACTGGCGCTGTTTCACGAGACATGCCACCTATACCATTTATCATCATGTGGGTACATGCAAAATGGGTCCACGAAAGGACCGCACGGCTGTTGTTGATCCCCGTTTACGGGTACACGGAATCCAAGGGCTTCGGGTGGTAGATGCGAGCATTATGCCAAATATCCCTGCTGGGCACACCAATGCACCGACGGTGATGATCGCTGAGAAAGCTGCCGATATGATCAAAGAAGATTGGAACATGGTTCGGTGACGGTAGTTTTCGGACCGGAAAACGGTAAAGACAAACAAGCTTTAATTTATTGTGATCGGACTTAGGAGAAGACTAGATAAATAAATTGTTTAGTTCAATACGCGTTAAATTATGTTTTTTTGTGAATTATATTCCGAAAGTTTTGTTCTTGTTTCATCAAATCTGTGTTGTGATCAAGTGTCAACCGGGGCTGCAACAATAAGTTGGTTTTCTCGATTAAGCTGCAATGCAAACATGAAGAAATCATGTACTTTTCTCAAACTTACGAGCTTATCATAATATTTTGTGTAATTTCTCAAAATATATGTTGTATATGGTTGCTAGCTATGGCCATTGCACAATGGTCCTAAAGCAAGAAGACACAGAAAAAAATATCTGAATTTTACTGGTGATGTAAACATTCATGCATATAATCTTCCTTTTCACGTAAAGCAGCTTGCAAGAAATGTTACAAATAAAGGTAGACAGTTTTACACAATATATGGAATTTTGCATGACATTGCATTTACAGATCTATAATGTAAACTTGTAGGATATATGACGCTCCATTTATGTGCATCATAGTAACGTAAATTTACTCTACTATTTTTAGCTGTGTAGGAAGACAAAATGCGCTTGAACCATAAGTTAGGGCCAATCTTTTGATGAAAGTGAAAGTAGAGTGGTCCATATGGTCATTGAGTTCAAAATATAAATCTTTTTATTACTTGATACAAAATATTTGACAAAGTCGAACTATATATTTAAAACAATTTTGCTGAAAAGATACATTTTCTATCTATTATGGTTCTCATTTTATACTAGTTTTATTAAATCATTTAGGGTGACCCCTGAAATATCATATGTTTTTAATTATTTTTTCATACATTTATTTTTCGTAAAAAAAAAATTGCTGAAGAAACCATGTTGCTGTCTCATTTAGATGAAAAACTATTAACGATTTTCGTGTTAAAATACACGTGTTAAAAGTTAATTAACTGAGTTAAGCAAAAGAAGCTCTTGTAGTTTTTACAATATATATAATAGCATGAAGAGACTACACAGGGTATATAAAACATACAAACAACACACACATAGCAGTGAAAAAAACACTGACGGCTGTTGTACTATGTATCGTGGAATATATGCGGTGAGAGGCTTTTATATTTTTTTTCCTTGATTTGTTTTCCTTCGATCTTGTTTTCCGTGCTGCTACCGACGCCAAGAAGGCAGCTCCCACACCTGGACCCTACCTATCGACCCATCAACTCATGAACCGGGGACCAACGACTTTACTTCCCTTCCGAAGGAAGGCGTGATCAGAGATGTTATGCCTCAGAACATCCCGGTGGCGGCGACTGGGATTGAACCCAGGCCTGCTGGGGTGAGAGATAATCACGCATACCACAACACCACTTGCGCCGCTAGGCTTTTATACTGATTTCTTAAACATTTGAATTGATTACAGCCTGACACCGTTTGCGAGATTGATCACCCTATTTACCTAAAACCTCCTAAAACCAATGATTTAAGCGCAAATATTTTTGTCTTGAGGAGTTCCACGCCAACTGACGAATCGATTTTGTTTTTCCCACTCCAAATTCCATGAAATCTCGCATAATTGTTCACTAGGGGCAATGAACCAAGTTTAGACTGACGCCTATTATTTCAGAACCATAGCACGAGAAAGGCTCATCTAATCGATATGACGTCTGAGACAACTTTGTGGAAACTGAATTTCCTTTTCGGAAAAATAAATTAATATATAGGGGAAATAGCTCTAATGTTGGCCTATGGATCTAAGATTGGGCCCATCGCTAAAAATCTGCTATTTATCAATTTTATCTAGATGAAGCGTTATTGGGACGGTACTAATGGACATTTTGGTTGCTATTGAAAATTTAGTCGATTGCTGAATTTATGTATGGGCCAAAATTAGGGCATTTAGGCCGATATTACATACATTTCCCCTATCCCAGTTTTTAGTTTTTTTTTTAGAAAAATGTATGTACCTATTCCACATTTTCAACAATTATGCGTAGCAGGAAAATTTCACATTTCATAAAACATCCGGAGTATCTCCGATGTCCACCTTCTTCTTCTTCTTCTTCTTTGTCTTCTTCTTCGCATTTTAAGCTTATTGCTTATCTCATATTAGCTCATTGCGTGCTCTCACCATGATGCACTTCTACAGTTATTAATTGAGAGCATTCGATGCCTACCCATTTTTGCATTAGTATAATTGTGTGGCAAGCACTATCATACTCTTATGGAAGTCGAGCAATTTTCTGACCGGAAATCGAACCCAGACACCTCAAGCACGGTCCGGTGACCAGCAGCCACTCCAAGTTCGGACAAACATTTCTAGAATAATTTCACCTTCGTTGACGTACCGAATCGGTCCATTCCACCGGTCACGAAAATTAGATAGCTGGTCATTGATTTGATTGTTTTACATTTTCTCAAGACTGACCATGAGCATCCATTACTATCAGATTCAATTTATATATTTACACCCAATACCGAGCATATGACACAACCTTTACTGAGCTATTTTTTAAATTAACAGCAACTAATTGCTCAGATAATTAGTTGTCATGACAATGCATTGTTCTTTGAGCCATAAACATAAACATATGAGCTGAAACCTCTCCTCTATAATACTTTTCTTGTTAAGACAAGCATTGGAAGACTCTTAGCATCTTTCCTTACAAGAACAATCATAGATAGCTAAATTCGAGACTTTTCTCGTAGAAGGTGATGCAGTTTTCCATTTAAACAGTTAGCATTACTACCAAACACGACAAATGTGCACTATCTAACTTGTTCTCATATTAACGTATATGTTATGTCGATAAAAATGAGTTTATACTAATATTAAAAACGGCTCGAAAATGTCTATTCAGTCTATTTCTATAGTATTCTGAATAATTCAAGCATGAATTCAAAATCATAACAAAGTCTAGCCTCTGTAAAATTTTCCCAACTTACACCAAGATCAAATATTCTAGAAACCACACGAACTGATTTAGCACCTCGTCCATACCCCTATATCGCACACAGCTGCATCAATTATCGTAAAACGCAGCGGTTAACGCACCTTCGGCCGATAAATGTAAATTGAATTTTCTACTATTTATCTCGCAGATCGAGAGATACAAAGAGTCTTGTCACTATTAAATAACAGCGTCTACGCCCTAGACGTGGTAGAGAACGCTTGTCGGAACTTGTGCCACACAACTGCACTTGTTGCACCTGCCGTTATTGTAAGCGCACCAAGGGCGCTCACGCTTCGGCTAGTTCAATAAATGCTACATTTGCGTATCGCCCAATATGCGGCTAAGTAACGTTAACCAGCGAGAAAAATCTTCTTCCGGGAAAATATTCCCTACCCAGAAGATTGAGTTTCACGTTCTGGACAGAGGAATACCTATGGGAACAAACATTTAGCGTTTAATTACACGGGACGATGAAAATATGAATCCAAAACGATCAAAACTTGTTCATAAATCACATAAATTAGTAATTCAATTTGAAAAGGAAATCGCATACGAACATAGTCTCCAATTGAAATAAGAGTATATCTGAATTAAATAATACAATTATTGTAATAAATTTTACAGATTCATCTCCGTAATCAGCGGATGATAATTTTGTTGTCCAGTGTAATTACGAAATCACGACCAAGCCGATATCCAAGTTGTGGCATTCATTGCTGCCTATTGTCGATAGAAAACACATCTAATGCATCATGTAATTCAGTAGAATCAGATTGCATTAAGCTTGGTGAGAGATCAAATCTAATCGGGGGTTTATCATCATCACTAGAATCCTGCTTCTGTAGGAATTATAATTTTTACTGATACATACGTCAGAAACGTGCAATGCATGAGAATGTTCCTGCACGATCGGTCAAACGAATTGTCATTCCTACACTGCTGGGTTAGGACAAAGTGACATATGCGGTGCTATGGTGTATTTTCACTAATTTGCATATTCAAATTTAGCACATCAACCAGCATCTGTGGACGCTAAAAAGTCTCGAAATTGAAATATTATTCATCATATGGAAACTTGTGTGATGTTTAAAATTAAATTTAAATTCAATTTCAATGTTAAGGTTTTACTCATCGGTATAAATCAATCTATCAGAAAATATATCATTTTCTAATACATCTTGGACAGACAAAAACCATATCCTGAATAATGTTGGTGTTAGTAAATACATCACTTTAATATCACTCTAGTACCTACCCTTAACAAATGTATAAAACACGGTATGAACATAATAGAATCTTGTGAACAATCATGAATATTACGCTTGCCCTTGGCACAGTTTGTACTAATACTTATGCCAGTGTTCTTTAAGCACTGTGGTTAATTGATAGCATTCTTAGCATATATAACACTTTCATTGACATATTGTGTGATTAAGCTTAATGATACCATAGAGGTAACTCTAAGACCAGAAAGTCCCGAAGAAACGTGCTCAATTTTTTGGGTCAGCTCTGGTACTATCTTCGGTGCACCCCTCGAAACATAGGAAAATCCACGAACCCCTCATTTTATCTGTCAAACTTTCATAGCGAATCAAAACAAACATAGTGTAGTACTAGAATTTCGACTAGAATGGGGTACGTTAATCGATTTACTTGGGACCAATAGGCTAGTCAAGTAGTGAAAATTTCAAACCATAAAATATCCGCAAATCGAACTCTTCACTTCCTACAAGGTTTTACTTAATAACATTGGCACCTTTACTAGCTAAGCTAAGGGAGGCCACAGTTTATACTAATACATATGCCAAAAACGTGCGACGAATAGGAATGTTCTTGCAAAGACGTAATTGGCCTGTACGGTCGCTGAAATGAATTATCATTGCAGGTAGCAGTGCAAGTATCGGAAGTATCTCAATAAGAGTTAAACATGTGATATGAATATAAAAGAAAATGATCTCATTATCATTAAAAACCGCAAGTGTGGTTGCCTCACATTCTGCTGTTGGATCGTATCCGTCTATTTCGTTCGAATAGCAGGCCATCGTTTAATAAAATGGTTTCAGCTTTTGTCCTAACGGAATCCCTTGAACTCTGGGATTTTCCGCGGGGGTTGGAAGGATTATTTTGTTCTCCGTCTTCAAGAAAAGTAAGAAGCAACTAGCAGTTCCAAAATGTCATGAACCCTAGGTGCTAGATTATTTAAAACACACTTGCTTAAGTAACGTTGCTAGTTGCTACCGAATAACACGGATTTTTCAGATGAGACCCACAGCTACAAATCTCGTACAATACACATCTTCAATCATAGACAAGATGGAAAACGTCGTCAAGTCGATGCTACACCAATATTTCACTGCGT